GAATGGGTTTTGTGGAGATTTTTAGAAACTTCACAGGTTAAGATCATGAGTCAGTGGTCTAGTGGTTAAGTGCTCGCACGCGAAGCCAATTGGTCCTGGGTTCAAATCCCGCTGGGTGTGGGATCGTGGATGCGCGCTGCTGAGGGGTCCCGTACTAGGAAGAAACGGCCGTCCAGGGCTTCCAGGTTTTCCATGGTGGTTTAGCTTCAATTGACTCATGATTTCAATCGGTAACATTTTCATACTACTAATAATTTATTCATAAATAATCATAAGTAACATCTACAGAACTATTTGTTTTTGTTCTTTCATTGGGTAAGGTTTTCGTTATTTTGTCGAAATCTCGATTATTTCAAACATTTGAATGTTGTAGATAATACATTTCCATTCCTCAACCAAACTGTTCAACTTAGAATTATTGTCTGCTTGTAGTGACTGGAAATGCTAGATCACGTAAAACGTAAACTTTAAAAAAAGAAACATCATTTAAATGTATAAGCGATAACACATAAGTATGTAGTATATATTGATTGATCAAATCACAACTCAGGAAAGTGATTTTGTTATTTTATAATACGTAATATGGGGAAATTAATCAATCTTCATAACTTGACCTAATCATAAACTATTTGCAATTCATATCTCATATGAATGGTCATTAAAACATGTCTTACATTAGAGAAACTTGTCAGGCTCGTAATACCGTGATTCCTTATCGTCAACACATTAGAGTAATATTATTATGGTTAGTATGTATAATAATTTCGCAGGTTGAAATCATGAGTCAATTGAAGCTAGACCACCAAGGAAAACCTGGAAGCACTGGACGGCCGTTTCACCCTAGTATGGGACTCCTCAGCAGTGCGCATCCATGAACCCACACCTCACGGGATTTGAACCCGGGACCTACTGGTTTCGCGCGCGAGCACCTAACCACTAGACCATTGAGCCAGCATCCAACGGTGTTAATGTCTAACTTTAACCAATCCACGAAGTTGCGCAACCGTAATGTTCATGTGTTAACTAGTATGAGTAACACAATACGACGAAACGGCCGTCCAGTGCTTCCAGGTTTTCCATGGTGGTCTAGCTTCAATTGACACATGATTTCAACCTGTGAAATTTCTAAGAATCTCCACAAAACCCATTCTGATGTATAATAATTTCCACCAAATGTATTATGTAATTTGTATGAGTTACAGCATAACCAAGCATTTTACTTGTAAAAGACATGTCATGCAGTCTCAAAAACTAGATATTTAATTATGAGGAACGATAAAAAGTTTAAGAAAACAAGGATGACTTTTCTCAAATACCTATCTTAGTTTACGCTAACAAAATCCGAAGATAGTGACGGTTCACATGACAGAAGTTTAACAATTGTTAAAATCGCACTCGAACTCATACATAGCTGAATTGAATGTGTGTTTTATAGAGAACCAGTGAATTAATCAATGTAAATATGGAGCTCCAATATCAAAATAAATTCAGCAACGTTCATTTTTAAATTCAGTAGTTCTTGAAGCACCAGTCATTCACTTCAAATCACTTCACTAATTTACAGTTAAATGATATTTCATTTCATTAGTTTCACCTTGAAACTTATCAAATAGTCACTTCTAAAAATCGAACACATCATCACTGACTTGACACACTTTATCAATACTCTTTCGTCTGATAAGATGTTATGTATTATCTTACCAATTCAAATTTAATGTGCTTATTTACTGGAGTCAATAATTTATGGATTTCACTAATGATTATTCTGATTACTCCAAAAATATAAATGACTTTCACTTTACCTGTTATGTCCACTAAACATGCTGACGTTGATTGCTCCCGCATAACTTATGCTAATCTTGATAAATCGGACCACGAGGAAAGCTATCTGATTTACTCTACCGTGTATAACTCAAAAATAACACGATAATATTTGTCGGTTTCAAGAACTGAACACTGAACTATAAATGATAAAACACAGTTTGTGCATAACTAGATCATTTATAGTATAAAACAGAATGACAAGTTCATAAACGAAATAACGATTATTCATAAATCGTAAAATCTATATCTATAATTATGGACTTACATGAAAGCTTTCAATTAAAACTGTATAAAAATGTATAAAAAACTGTATAAATCAAATAGTCAATACATAAGCCTTTCCCAGTCATTCACCCATATCTAATTATATTATTTAGCATTAAATATCATAATTTTGAGATTTTCACTAAATCAATCAACATTGTCCACGTCTTTTAATAAAACGCCATGTTTCCTCTAAAAAATTTCAGTTCTGCAAATAAGTAAATATTTTCTGATGTTCGTTTTTAGCAAATGACTGATCACTGGATAGTGATCAATGTCATGTATGTCAAGTCCTTCTTAGTATAAATCGAATGCTATCGACCAAGTTGCAATGTGGCCACTAGTCTAGGTGACTCGATATTGCGTGAACTATGTAGAAATAAGTTGGTGGTTGGAGGTAGTCGATAAGATTCGATAGGTTTCGTGCTACTTGGTACTCGTCAGTTATGGTGTACTTGTAATGTTGAAGGAACTGATGCTCCCTGATGGATTCAATCCCGTGTCACCCAGCTTCATAGTCAGAGATGTTACCACTGATCTATCCGGGCAGCGACTGACCTCCAGCAACAATGAGATGTGTTTACAATTGATTTAATGGTAAAGTATATGATATAAGTTGTATCTTCTTACTAGGAACTTCATACATTATTCAAGTTCACCACTCTTATTCATATCATAAAAGATTAAGTACATAACAAGAAGTTCAAAGTCTGGATAGAAAATAAATAAATGAAAAATCATTTTCATCTTTCAATGAGAAAGAAGACAAAATATCGAATTTATGGTGACATGTAAATAATATGATTAGTTAAAAAAAATATCCCTTTACAATTGAAATTCAAAACAAACCAAGAATAATTTGATTCAAACAGCTTAATGTTACAATTAGTAATGTTCATATGAGTATAGTTCTACATAACTTAGTCGGAGACGTTGATTTCAAAATGGCGGGAAAATATATAAAAAGTAGGGATAAGGTACAAAATATTTAACATAGTAGTTAAGATTCATAAGTATATATTTTAGCATAGAGATATTGTGGAAATAGTCAAATTTCCATAAATTAAATCATTGACTGATCTTGATTAAATCATAATTATAAACTAGTACGAAACTCTTCGGTAGTGCGCATCCGTGGCCATGTGACTTGGGAACGGCTCAATGGTCTCAAAGTTAAATGTTCGTGCGTGAAGGTTTTGAGTATTCATTTATTGATAATGAATTCATTTTGAGAAAAAGGTGATACTATAAATGTTAATTAAGAGACAGAGATTTGCTCTTCATTATGATATGAGACACAGACATAGAAAATATAGTTGAACAGATAACTTATTTCTGTAGGTTGTGACATCTAGCAACATTTATAACTGTTTCAAATAGTAGACTACTAATTGATAAGTTCCCATCATATTAAAAAATGATTTATGACACAAAATCATTCAACTTGCCAATAGACTATCACATGAGTAAATACAAACACGATTGTACAATTATTGTAAATTGGGAATGGAACTTTTCTTCTCTGAGTTCTTACATTCACATTCAATGACACGACGGATTTCTTCGACTGTTCCGGTGAAATTTATTTGTGTTTGTAACCACTTAAACAAGAGTCTAACGTCACGACCATATCATGACAACTCCCTAATCTAATGGGATGTGACTCACTCATGTGCAAACCATCTGTGCCTTCAATGAACCGACGACCTTGTGTTTACATTTATGATAACCTTAGCATAGTGGTAGATCATAATGAGATTTGTCTCGAACTTTTTCAACTCAAGGACGTGATACTCACTTCTGAATATCAGGTTGATGTGGAGGTACTTTTACGACATTTATGAATCCAAACAAACATCTATTTTAGACTAGTTTTATTAAACAGCTTCATTTTATCTTTCATAACATCGTTTGCATGAATCCCACCGTTTGAATCAAATGTTAATTTACTCAGTTATGAATAAGTATTTTACTTTTCGCGTTTAATATTTAAATGATATTTTCTAATTTTGTAGTATAAAAGTTATCGATAAAATAATTAACTTCATGCCAGTTGACCGCAAAACATATATCTTCTGATATTTTCACTCCCGAATTATTTGGAGTGCATTTCATGTAGATATACGGCGACTTAACCTATGTTCCACTATGATAACTGATGAATATTATTTCGTAGTTAAATTCACGAATTGGTCTTATCTAGACCATCTATGAAAACCATAATAGCTGATTCGTCCTAGAACGGAACTTTTCGGTAGTGTGCTTTTATGACCCCCTTCCCTCAGAGAATCGAACACTTAACCACTGGATCACTGAGCCAGCATCCAGGGATGTAAGTGTCTAACTTCAGTAAATTGAAAATGTCATATGACCTTCTTCGATCAATTGCAGTGGAAAACTGTCTAACGGTTGACATGATTGAACTCAACTTGTTATAGCTTCTTAATAAAACTTAAGCAATTATTTCTTGAAGCTAGTCACTGATAAATATATGATTATTATCAGTATTGGACTGCGTGGAGATTGAGGAATTATCATTGTTTAACCGATAACTCCTAAAATCTCCATAAAACCACATACCGACAACATTATTTCTACTGGCATCATTATTAATTAGTAATTTTTGCATTTTTTTTTTCTTTCCGAATAGACAAATCCCTATGCTTTTCATTCAGGGTATATATGAATTAACCAATAAGAATCTGAAACGTTACGTATCAAGGGGATATTACACTATACAGATTTATTTCCGTTAAGAACATTAATATTATCGATAAACCGATTTCTCACCCCGTATTCATTAGGCAATAATATCTATTAAGTTAACCAATCATAAACATGTTATTATGTCTAACTTTAACCAATTAGTAATAAGATACGCTAAATATCATGACTAGGAATTTTTTCCAGTTGATATATTACATAAGGGATAATTCAAACCTACATTCAACTTAAAAGTGGATTAAATATGATTTATACATTTTATTATGTTCAGTACACACTATAAAGTTTATTTTGGTTCTTACCAAGCAACTTGATTGATATATTATAGGTAAGCGTATACTTGGAATTATTAACCATATTACGAATGCTTACTGTATAAATTATCATTAAAATATTGAATAGAATGATAAAAATGGAAGAACAAGAATCTTCCTAACAATTTTACAGATCTAAAGATAGTAGTGAGTATGAAGATGAAGTGGTTTTAACCAAAGATTGGTACATTGGAAAATCATATACAGTTTTCTTTCACAAGTTTAGCTTCTACATACCAGAAACGAAGAAAAATCCCTAATAAACTCAATGTATGTATGGTTTGCTTAAGAGTAATAATAATTCACTGATATATCAAGGGAGAATATTCTTTTTAGTAAATTCACACCAAGTTTTTTCATTTATATATCTAAATGTTCAAGGGGATAGCCAAACTTAAGGGAGATACAACATTTTGAAATTCTAGCATATGAATTGAGAACTGTTAGTAAAATTAGGTTGTTAATATTGGAATGTATAGAGTTTATAGGTCTATAAAAATTATGAGATGAATAATTAGAATAGGGTGGGAGAAATAATAATAGAATTACAAATGAGATCAAATATCGGGTCGCAGATTACGTAATGTTTATGACTTCAGTAAGAAACAATAACACGATGGAAGTGCTAATTAAATTGTGAATAATTATAATACTAACTTACTTACTGACAATAATATTTGAATGAAATTCATTTACGCTATGTAAATTCATATGTGAAAGATGAATGTACATACTATAATGAAGATGGATATTATCGTATTGATCATGACCTTCGCCAGGGTGAAAGAAACTCCTGAATAGACTCATAACTGTAGAACCTGAGTAGAACTTATTTTAAAAATATATATACCAGAAATATGGATTATTCATGTACAAGTCACTGCACTAAAAGAGTAGTGTTCACTCTAAGGTTCGAAGGTTCTAAATTGGATCACACGTGAACTTGTAGGGGTACACTGTTGATAAGTGAGATATTACTATGAACTAACTGTATTAATACTCATTGACTTTTGTATGTATTTCCTTGGTCATGATAGTATGTGTAGTGAAAATATCTTCATGCATCCTGTCTGTACAAACTGCCACTTAACTAAACTCAATTCTTTCTTTCTTTTCGTGATAATTATATTACTTGATACCATGTTATAATGATTCAACTCAATGATTCCCCTTAGTCTTATTATTCAATTCACTCTACTGTTCTGAGGAAAATATTTGCATGTGCTTGTGTATTAGCATTTAAATTTTATTGACCTATTTTCAGAGTATATACAAGTCTAATAATCACGGATTATCGTTAAATTCTTCCTGACGAAGATGAGTTTGGTTCCATTGAAACTGATAATGACATGATGATGCACAAAAAATCACAAATATGAATGTGATTCCGTTTAGGTTGTTACTTTGATATATGGTAGTTTCGAAAATGTATCAATTATACTAATAACGTAATTCAAATTTCATATACAATTACTCCGTGGTTAATAACAGATTTTGTTTATTGGATGGCAGTTATTTTGAGTTCCACATGTTCTTCAATTGTACGAATGTGAAAGAAAATTATTATGTACTTGTTTTTGAGGTTCAGATTCTCTACATGAGCAGATTATAATATTCAACTTTGTAAGTCAATTCTGTAACCCGATTCATTAAGACGTTTGATTAAATTATACTGTTCAAACCATCAGTTATCCCTAAAAATAGGAACTTCTTAGTGTACACCTCCCTTAGTACCAAGTGAATTCGACCAACAATTTACCATATTCTCACGAATTAATTATTTAGAAATTAGATTCCGAAATACTCGTAAGAGTTTTTATTTTTTGAAGATCAAACATGTTGAGAGTGAAATGACTTTTAATGAGTATTACACTACATCATGAATTCATTGAAGCTTGAAATTCGAACAGTCCAATTCCACCTCTAAAAGTAATTTAAATGACTACAAAAGTTAAAGATTCTAAGCTCAGTCTTTGTTCCTTTCATAGATATACACCACTATTAAGTTAGAAATTAGGAAGAAACAACTAACTAATTCTGTCTGGTTCTTAATTCTTCTTTAGTTGATTTCTGTTTATGATGAGTTCATTGATTTGTAAATCATTTTTATAGAAAAATTTGATATCACCCAAAGACACCAATATCAATTACTCAATGATCAGAGTATTTAACAACTGAAATGTAATCAAGATCTGGCTATAATTCAGTAATTCAGTTCCACGTATTTATCACTAAAATTAAAAGTTAACATTTAACAGAAAAAAGGTTACACTTCTAATTCTTTATACTATATATTAATGAAATTTGTTGATATAGCTTCATCACAGGCTAATCATTTAAAATATGTGGATACTGTATTTTATAATGGTTGACGATTAAAAATAATATTTCTGCTACTATTCAGTTTATATTATCTTGAATAGTCATAAAAATGTCTTATCCTATTACCTTTATTACCTCATAAAGGTAACTCAGTAATTGGATGCTCTTTACTAAGAGATAATATACTTCAGAATCAACTAGAAACAGTAAAAAAAACGTTCGTATCGTTTTGAGATGGTGGAGAAAATCTGTAGCTCAGTTGGATGGTTTTGATGTAGTTTTGTTCTCTGAACTGGATGGTTTCGTCGTGGAGTTTTCATCGTTCTTCTGAACGATATCATCAGCATACACCATCGCGCTCAGAGAACGAAACTGCATCAAAAAACTTTAGCTGACTTTCTGCGTACCAACAATGTCAAATTCACGGGGAACTAGAATTTGATGGTTTCTTCTACGACAAACATATCGAAGTTTTTTCAATTTGATCACCTAGTTCAATAAACAAAAGGTTGATAAATGTTTGCGCATGAATTGCAAATCTTCTCCACTATTATTTTTAAAAACATTAGCAAATTCTTTAAAAGATTTAATATTCAATTAAAAAATAAGTATCAGGAAGGGGTTTTTGTGGATATTATAGTAATTTCAATAGTTGAGATCATGAGTTAATTGAAGCTAAACCACCGTGGAAAACCTGAAAGCACTAGACGGCTGTTTCGTCCTATTGTAGGTCTCCTTAGTGGTGTGCATCCACGACCCCGCCTAGCGAGATTGTGATGAGTAATTTATCGTTCCTCTTAAAATTATTAAATAGCTGACTAACGAGGCTAACTAAAGTGAATCAACTAGTCGTCAGATGAATCTAAAAAGAAGTGTGTAAACAAACAAAAAAACAGTTACTTTTGAATGCTTCTCGCAAGTACTGATTATCTCAAGTTAAATGCTGTTTATATTATTTCGTTTCATGATGGAAATAAAACAGCATTTCGGAGAACAGTTTTTAAATGATTTTTATAGAATGGACATTTTATATTCATTTATATGAATTCTATAGAGAATCCACATGTATTTCATGATATAAGTATCCTTTTGTGAGTAATGTCCTTTACTGAACTGAATAACTGTTTTATTTTAATTCAGAAGTATTCAACAATCATACATGAAGTTTATTCTTAAGTCTTATGACTTTTCAGTTATACTATTCTATTAATCCACATTATCGGCTTTCAGTGGATTGAATAATAAATTTCGGTTATTAGCTTACAGTATGATGGTGAGTTACCTTATTCCTGAATCAATCGCTCTACTATACGATGCATACAAAGTATTAATACTTTGTGAACAAATGATATTATATTTAATTTTTATAAGTCATTACATATCTCATAATGTAAAGTGAATGAGTGAATTATCTGATCAGTCAACTGGATTGATGAAAGGCTACTGAGTGAGAAATATTTACAAAGAAAAAAGTCAACTTAATGATGCAATGAATCTAACTGAATATATACTTCAAAACAAAATGACTAATCAGTAAATTTGTATGTGATTAGTAGACTTGGTTGTATGGAAAACAAACAATGATTATTAGTTGATAAACATGAGTGAATGAATATCAGTGAATTCATTAGTCATTTCTTGTTTTTATTATCAAAATGTGGTTTGTGGAGATTGTAGAAATTGTAATAGTTGAGTTCGTGAGTCCATGTAGGCCAAATCACTATTGAAAACCTGAAAGTACTGGAAAACCATTTCGTCATAGTATGAGACTACTCAGAAGTGCTCATCCACGATCCCACGTGAAAGGTTCGAACACATGATCTTCGTTCTCGTACGCGAACGCCTGACCTCTAGCGGTGTTCGTGTCTAACTCCAATCGATCCATGATCTTGTGAAACCCTTCATCCATTATCTTAGGTTGATAACTGTCTCACACCCGACACGGATTGGATTCCACTGGTGACGGTGTATAAACTAAAGACTTATATGTCATGAAAATTTATTTTTCTCTAGTTTAAACAAAAATAAAATTTCAATAGGCTTTTATAAATTGTCTTAGAAGTATTCAAAATGGTTGCATTGAAACTCCATCAATTTTTATATGCTCTTCACTTAACTAAATTATTTAAAATCTATATGTCGGTCGCACAACTTTCAGTTGCATGCATAAGTTTACATGAACTTATAAAAATGTATATATCAGCGAATCAATAAGGAAAAGTTTTATTCTGTAGTTGTAGAACACGTAATCGCGAAACTGAGCATTTGAAAGTGTTAGATCGTTGGAGATATTCGGAAACAAACTCTAGAACTAGGTTTCTTACTAGTGCATAATTGTCAACAAGCCTTACCCACAATCTCGAAGAAAATTGATTTTTCCAGTTAACACGGATTCGCGTCACTCAGTTATGCAATCCGAAACTACCACTGAGCTAGTCAGGTAGTAACTGATCTCCTGCAGGATTGAGATATTTACAAGTAATTGATATAAGAGTATTCAAAGGGTTTCAAAATGTTATCACTAAACGCTAAATGGATATGATATGTGTAATTGATTCCAACAAAGTTTTCTGCCTTATTAATATTTAATATACAATAAGTCTACCCCCAACGATTGTAAAAATCGTCAGTACAAAACACTTATCAGTTGACTTGTGTATGTAAAAAAATTATGAACGCTATTAGTTTTATA